CTCTTACTACCACGATACAACCCTTTGACCTCTAATATTTCCTGTAAGAGCTTTTCTTTTCATTAAATTGTCAGCACTTGAATGATAAAGCTTATAGTCATTGAAAAAATGCAGTCAGTTCAAGGTTCAATACCAGCACATAGGGTGAATAGGATTTGTTTCCGATATATTGACACCACGTAAGGAAACCCACCTTGCACTTTTGTTACAAGATCTTCAAAGAATTCTTTCAAATATCTCTGAGGACTCAACATAATAAATATTTCAGAGAATGTTGTTTGAAAATGCTTTCTCTAATTTTCTTTCGTTTGAAGCAGCCACAAATAATACCCGTCCCAACCCTGTGCTGCAAAGTGTAAATTCTAGCTCCCTCACAAAGTGTTTGTCTTTCAAGGTTTTCCCTTAAGTCAGACTTTTAAATCAAAGCTGACTGGTAATGACAAATGCCTATAAAACTCTTAAATCTGAATAGGCATCGAAAAGTGGGACATACTTTCATTTCCTCATTTTGACAATTTATCACTACAGCCCTATGAAAATGCATTATTGAAGCTATAAACGGAAAGTGAAGCTACCAATAAATGTCCTGGATATATATTCAGGACTTATTTGCTCTCAGCAGAATACTAGGTCATCATTTGGTTTATTGGCCCCACTATCTTGTTTTTTAAAGTAAATTACAACATATGGAACTATGCATGAAATGAAAAAGTACAGCTCAAGTATTACAAACACATTTGTAACCACCTTAAGGGTAAAGAAATACAACATTTTCTGTACCCCCAAAACACTCCACAGGCCCCCTCTCGATAACTGCAGGTTCTGCCTCCACTAAAGACAACAACTTTCCTGTTTATGACAATTACTTTCTTATTTTCTTTGTACTTTTATCACCTCAGGATGTATCCTTAAACACTATATATTCTATTCATAGTTTTTAAACATTATATAAATGAAATCATATAGAATACTTTCCTTTCTGTCTGGTTTTCTTCATATAGCATTATCTTTGTTAGATTTATTCCATTTGGTTATAGTTCACTTTTTCTTTACTGTATCATATTCCATTGTATGAATGTCTGTTTATTCATTCTACTGTTGATGGACGTTTTGAGTTGTCTGTAGCTTGGGCGATTAGAAGTGACTCTACCATGAATATTCTCATATATGTCTCTTGGTGCACAAGCACACACACACGTCCATCAGGTGTAAACCTGGGAATGGAATATTTAAATCACAGGCTATACGTATCTGGAAGTTAAGAAGATAATGCCAAATGGTTTTCCAAAATGTATGTGCCAATTTACATTCTCACCAACCCTATGGATATGAGAGTTCTTACTGCTCCAAATCTTTCCCAACACTTGGTAACATCTATAACTTTAATTTAGCTAATGTGGTATTTCCTTGTGATTCTGATGGCTAATGTTATCAAGCGCCTTTTCATTTATTTATTGGCCATTTGGATATCCTTTCTTGTGCAATGTCCATGCAAGTTGCTTGCCCATTTTTCTATGGAATTGTTTCTTCTTTACATTTATGGTAGAAATGTAAAGGCATGCGCCACCACGCCTGGCTAATTTTTGTGTTTTTAGTAGCAACAGTGTTTCATTATGTTGGTAAGGCTGGTCCTGAATTCCTGATCTGGTGATCTGCCCGCCTTGGCCTCCCAAAGTGCTGGGATTACAGGCGTAAGCCACCACACCTAGCCTGCATGACCAGTTTTCTAAATATTTACGTGAAGATGTGCCATAAGTATTAAACATGAATCCAGCTTACATTTCCAGTGGTGGATCTCTTCTTCCAGAGGAATACTTGGTTTTAGATGCACGATTACCTAGACTTTAGATTTTCCTCTTGAACGACCAAACAACTTAGTGGGAGATATTTGGGATCAAGTGTGCTTGCCTGGTGCTGCCTGTGGGACTAGCTCCTCAAGCTTTCACCCTTAAGTTGGTTCTTCCCTTTTATGTGTCTTGATGATCCCAAGAGACTTGGGTGCTTAAGGCAGTAGGTGATCATTTAATTAAGCAAGGTTATGTGTGCTCATTTAATTAAGCAAGGTTTCCTGTATAGTTTTTGTTTGTTTTTAGACAGAGTCTTGCTCTGTCACCCAGGCTAGAGTGTAGTGATATGATCTCAAGAGATCCTCCCTTGTTTCAGCCTCCCAAGTAGCTGGGACTACAGGTGCATAGCACCACACCTGGCTAATTTCTTATTTATCTTATTTATCACTATGTTGCCCAGGTTAGTCTTAAACTTCTGGGCTCAAGTGATCCTTCCACCTTGGCCTCCCAAAGTGCTGGGATTATAGGCATGAGCCGCTGTGCCTGGTTCTGTGTGCTTTTCTTAAGGGATTTCCTGTAAGACTGTTTCATGTCATCAGCAATGATCTCCAACACTCCCACACAGACCTCAGTAGCCTAAGGTGCCTTTCAGTTGGCAAGAACAGTGTCTCTCATCTTTGGGATTTATTTTGTCCTCATAAAGAACCTTTTGTAATTTTAGTTACTCAAGAAGAAACTTTAGCCCAGGCACAGTGGCTCACACCTGTAATCTCAGCACTTTCAGAGGCTGAGACAGGTGGATTGCTTGAACCTAGGAGTTTAAGACCAGACTGGACAATATGGCAAAACTCTGTGTCTACAAAAAATTAGCCAAGTATCAAGGTGCACACCTGTAGTTCCACCTATTCAGGAGACTGAGGTGAGTGAATCACTTGGACCTGGGAAGTTGGGGCTTCAGTGAGCCACGATCATCACCACTGCACTCCAGCCTGGGCAACAAAGGGAGACCCTGTCTCAAAAAAAAAAAAAAAAAAAAAGTATTTATTTAGATTTGCCAGTTGAACAAGCTTTAGAATCTGGTTAATTTTTAAAATTACAAATTTTGCTTAAGTCACAAAGATTCATTTCCTTTTTTCAAAGATAAACTGTTTTCTCCCTGATCAAACTTCCAAATGAGATAAAAAGTTATAGAAATTCTAATGAGGCTGGACGTGGTGGCTCAGGCCTCTAATCCCAGCACTTTGGGTGGCTGAAGCAGGCAGATCACCTGAGGTCAGGAGTTTGAGACCAGCCTGGCCAACACAGTGAAACCCCATCTCTACTAAAAATACAAAATTAGCTGGGCATGGTGGCATGCACCTGTAATCCCAGCTATTCTGGAGGCTGAGGCAGGAGAATTGCTTGAACCCAGGAGGCAGAGATTGAAGTGAGCTGAGATCGCACCACTGCACTCCAGCCTGGGCAACAAAGTGAGACTCTGTCTCAAAAAAATAAATTAAAGAGGGCCGGGCGCGGTGGCTCACACCTGTAATCCCAGCACTTTGGGAGGCCGAGGCAGGTGGATCATGAAATCAAGAGATTGAGACCATCCTGGTTAACATGGTGAAACTCCGTCTCTATTAAAAATACCAAAAAATTAGCTGGGCTTCGTGGCGCATGCCTGTAATCCCAGCTACTCAGGAGGCTGAGGCAGAATTGCCTGAACCCAGGAGGCGAGGTTGCGGTGAGCCAAGATTGCGCCATTGCACTCCAGCCTGGGTAACAAGAGTGAAACTCAGTCTCAAAAAAAATAAATAAATAAAAAATAAGTAAAAGAACCAGGCCATATGGTCACAAAAAAAAGAAAAAAAGTCTGGCCGGGCGCAGTGGCTCACGCCTATAATCCCAGCACTTTGATTGCTGAATGAGTTCTGTCTTCATGTATAGTCTGGTCGTTGTTCATTTGTATATCCTTCACTCTCTTGCTACTAAAAACAAATAAAAAATGACAGCCCCCTAGGAAAAACAGACTCCAAACACATGGGGGCAAGTGTTCTTAAGTGGGGAAGTTAAGGTTTCACTGACATAGGCAGTTAACAGGGTTGTAACATTTTTTCATACAAGGTCATTGCATGTATTATAGTGATTGGTTAAAGCTTGTTAACATTTCAAGGAAGCTTGCTTTAACATTAGGTGAGCAGGGGTGATAATCTAAAGAGATCTGTGGAGCTGCAAGGCTTTTCCTAGTCATTTACAGGGAAAAGCAGGAGTTGCAGCTGCATGCTACTGAGTCAGGTCACATAACCACATTCCTCTCCGGGCCCAAAATAATTTAAAATTCTGAAAGCTTTAAATTTGAATTGTTTAATTTCACACCATCATAGGCCTAAGCTCACATTTTATTCAAAAAAACTTCAACGTAATATAGATAAATTTTAGTAACTCTGTAAGTTGGTGTGATTTATCTCTCTAATATCAATGAAACTTAGGGATTACTCTCTGATGTTTGCTGCAAATATATCCACAGATTGATAGCAAATATTTTATTGCACTATTTAGTTCTATATTATGCCATCAGCATTAATGCTTTTCTAAAATAAAGCAGAATCTTTTCTTTGTTTTAAAATGATCACGGTTCCCAAGGAAGAAACTACACCAATTTGAGTCTAAAATATCAAACATTGAAGAATACAAAATTTATTTTCTAAGCAGTGGAAAACCATGTATCTAATGAAGCGAGTTTGTTCAGGTGGGCTAGCTGGCAAACAGAACAAGAGCTATAAGAATGTTGTAGAGGTAGCAAGACTGAAACATGATCTTGGTTGGAGCAGAAGAAAATGCTCAAAACACTCATAGTATTAATTTGTGTGGTGTGTGTGTGTGTGTGTGTGTGTATGTCTCACTTGTCACCCAGGCTGGAGTGCAGTGGCACAATCTTAAAATCTTAGCTCACTGCAGTCTTGATCTCCCAGGCTCAAGTGACTCCTCCTCCCTCAGCCCCTGCAAGTAGCTGGGACTACAGGTCCCTGCCACCATGCTGGCTAATTTTTGTATTTTTTGCAGAGCTGGGGTTTTGCCACAGGCTGGTCTTGAACTCTGAGCTCAAGCAATCTGCCTGCCTTAGCCTCCCAAAGTGCTAGGATTACAGGTGTGAACCACCATGCCCAGCCTAGGGTTAATTTTCTTTTTGAATGATTTTTACACTACTATGAAAATAAACAAAGGCCACCCAAATGAGAACCAGCGTAATTCATTTATTCAAATCTTGCGATAACAAGGAAGCCAGCCAATGTCACTTTCATTAAGCAGACTCAAAAAGGAGTTAGGTAAGTTTTATAGCAAAAAAGTAAAAGACACTAAGGTGTGTTTTGATTGGAGGTTGTTGGCATGGGGAAGTTGAAGGCCAACTATCTAAAAGCAGAGTATCTTGGGAATTAATTCAGGAAACATAGTTGGCTGTCTTTGGTTGGCCCTAAGTTCAAAGGATGTAGGGGTTGGGGCACAAAAATAGGGAAGCTGGTAGTCATTAATGAAATCCTCACTGTCCTGGGGTGACTGATGCCAAGATTATAATTTGGATTTCCAGGCTCGTTGCTGAAGAGATTGTAGGTCAGAGTTCTGTCTTCATATACGGTCTGGTCGTTGTCCATTTATATATCCTCTCATCTCTCACTACTGAAGAACAAATAAAAATGATTAATGTTTTATAATTTTATGGAAGAATATATTCACGTAGCTTTGAGAGATTTGAAGAGTCTAATAGTTACAGAAATCTTTGCAGATGAAAATATTTCATGTCTGAGAATATAAGATGAATTATGTTTATACTGTAAGATATCTCTGTGAAGGTCTTGTTATACAGGTACAACTGGATTCGGGACTTCAAAGATGCATCAGTTACAACAGTAATAAGTACTTATGGGGTCTTTTGAAAAATTATAACCTGGCTTGGACTACCTCAGAAAGATTGGTCATTTTCTCCATGACTTACTGGAGAATTGGGTCTCTTTTTATTTTTTTGAGCCTCTTACCACCCAGGCTGTAGTGCAGTGACCTGATATTGGCTCATTTCAACCTCCACCTCCCAGATTTAAGCAATTCTCTGCCTCAACTTCCTGAGTACCGAGTAGCTGGGATTACAGGCGCCCACCACTACACTCTTCTGCAAATTTTTGGTATTTTTAGTAGAGACAGGGTTTCACCATTTTGGCCAGGCTGGTCTGACCTCGTCATCCACCCACCTCACCCTCCCAAAATGCTGAGATTACAGACATGAGCCACCTCACCCAGCCAATAATTGGGACTTTTAAAGATGTAAGAAAGAAAGTTACTGGTATATCACCACTGGAAACTCCTCACATTGCAATTTTTTTGTAGAGAATATACTGAGGAAATTGGTTGGCTGTGATGAAAATCATATTTGAGTGTCTACAGTTGTTTTAATTACATTTTTATTTTGAGAAATTTTCAAATATAAATATTTTATATAAAAGTAATACAAAAAGCCTTCAAAGTAGCCTTTGTCCTCTTCCCTCCTGCCCCATTTTCTATCCCCTCTCTTCCTGTAAGAGGCAACTTCTCTTTACTTTGGTATGTGTCCTCTTAACTCATAAAGTCATTATTTCTAAAAACAATGTAATTGCCCTTACTTGGCTAATTATAAACACAAATATGGAAGGTCTGAAAGACTTACTTTCTAGGTTCTTTTAGACTAGTAAATTATTATAATAAGCCTGAAAAACAGAACATTAGTCACCAAATAATTCAATAACTAAGTAACATATATTCTATGTTAACTAGCATATTGCATTTGTATCCATATTAATGTATCTAATTAGTGGCAGGCATCTAGGTTTCTGAAGGAAGGAAAAAGAACCAATGAAAGAAATCACAGACTGACACTTTGAGAAATGTACAAAAAGTGAGTCAGAGGATTTCCTCTTGATCTTGGCTGAAACTATTAGGTCTCAAGTTTGGGTTGATCCTTCTTTGCCTGGCCCTTGCAGAAGCAATGCTTTTTCTTGTTTCAAAATGAACTATACTTGTCAATCGCAGTGTTTTGAGTACTGCCAGTCTGATACTGATGTGGCAGAACAAAGTTCAGTTTGTTAAAAGTATAATTTATTCTCTAAATATAAATTGCCTTTGTTTTATAAATACCTACATAAAAAGCTTAAGTCCCAGCAATGTTTTATTTTTATTTATTTTATTGTATTGTTTTTATTTTTTATTTATTTATTTTTTTTTATTGCATTTTAGGTTTTGGGGTACATGTGCAGAGCATGGAATACAGTTGCATAGGTACACACATGGCAGTGTGTTTTGTTTGCTTTCTCCCCTTCACCCACATTTGGCATTTCTCCCCAGGCTATCCCTCCCACTGGCCCTCCTCTTTTCCCCCCAATAGACCCCAGTGTTTAGTACTCCCCTCTCTGTGTCCATGTGTTCTCATTTTTCATCACCCGCCTATGAGTGAGAATAGGCGGTGTTTCATTTTCTGTTCTTGTGTCAGTTTGCTGAGAATAATGTTCTCCAGATTCATCCATGTCCCTACAAACACGAACTCATCATTTCTGACTGCTGAATAATATTCCATGGTATATATGTGCCACATTTTCCCAATCCAGTCTATCATCAATGGGCATTTGGGTTGATTCCAGGTCTTTACTATTGTAAACAGTGCTGCAATAAACATTCGTGTACATGTGTCCTTATAGTAGAACGATTTATAGTCCTTTGGGTATATACCCAGTAATGGGATTGCTGGGTCAAATGGAATTTCTATTTCTAAGGCCTTGAGGAATCGCCACACTGTCTTCCACAATGGTTGGACTAATTTACACTCCCACCAACAGTGTAAAAGTGTTCCTTTTTCTCCACATCCTCTCCAGCATCTGTTGTCTCCAGATTTTTTAATGATTGCCATTCTAACTGGCGTGAGATGGTATCTCAATGTGGTTTTGATTTGCATCTCTCTGATGACCAGTGACGATGAGCATTTTTTCATATGATTGTTGGCCTCATATATGTCTTCTTTCATAAAGTGTCTGTTCATATCCTTTGCCCACTTTTGAATGGGCTTGTTTGTTTTTTTCCTGTAAATCTGTTTGAGTTCTTTGTAAATTCTGGATATCAGCCCTTTGTCAGATGGGTAAACTGCAAAAATTTTTTCCCATTCTGTTGGTTGCCAATTCACTCTAGTGACTGTTTCTTTTGCCGTGCAGAAGGTGTGGAGTTTCATTAGGTCCCATTTGTCTATTTTGGCTTTTGTTGCCAATGCTTTTGGTGTTTTGTTCATGAAGTCCTTGCCTACTCCTATGTCCTGGATAGTTTTGCCTAGATTTCCTTCTAGGGTTTTTATGGTGCCAGGTCTTATGTTTAAGTCTTTAATCCATCTGGAGTTAATTTTAGTGTAAGGTGTCAGGAAGGGGTCCAGTTTCTGCTTTCTGCACATGGTTAGCCAGTTTTCCCAACACCATTTGTTAAACAGGGAATCCTTTCCCCATTGCTTGTTTTTGTCAGGTTTATCAAAGATTGTATAGTTGTAGATATGTTGTGTTGCCTCCGGTGCCTCTGTTTTGTTCCATTGGTCTATATCTCTGTTTTGGTACCAGTACCATGCTGTTTTGATTACTGTAGCCTTGTAGTATAGTTTGAAGTCTGATAGTGTGATGCCCCCGCTGTGTTCTTTTTGCTTAGAATTGATCTGGCTATGCGGGCTCTCTTTTGGTTCCATATGAAGTTCATGGTGGTTTTTTCCAGTTCTGTGAAGAAAGTCAATGGTAGCTTGATGGGGATAGCGTTGATTCTGTAAATTACTTTGGGCAGTATAGCCATTTTCACGATATTAATTCTTCCTAACCATGAACATGGAATGTTTCTCTATCTGTTTGTGTCCTCTCTGATTTCGTTGAGCAGTGGTTTGTAGTTCTCCATGAAGAGGTCTCTTACGTTCCTTGTGAGTTGTATTCCAAGGTATTTTATTCTTTTTGTAGCAATTGTGAATGGCAGTTCGTTCTTGATTTGGCTTTCTTTAAGTCTGTTATTGGTGTAGACGAATGCTTGTGATTTTTGCACATTGATTTTATATCCTGAGACTTTGCTGAAGTTGCTTAACAGTTTCAGGAGTTTTTGGGCTGAGGCGATGGGGTCTTCTAGATATACTATCATGTCATGTATTGTATTTTTTGAAACAGGGTTTCACTCTTGTTGCCTAGGCTGGAGTGCCATGGCGTAATCTTGGCTCACCGCAACCTCTGCCTTCCAGGTTCAAGTGATTATCCTGCCTCAGCCTTCCAAGGCGCTAGGATTACAGGCACACACCACCATGCCCAGCTAATTTTTGTATTTTTAGTAGATATGGAATTTCACCATGCTGATCAGGCTATTCTCAAACTCCTGACTTCATGATCCGCCCGCCTCAGCCTCCCAAAGTGCTGAGATTACAGGTGTGAGCCACCGTGCCCAGCCATAATTCTCTAATTTTTATAAAAATCTTTTCTTTAGATCCTGTCAAATACATATAAGCCTAAGACAATAAAAATAACTTATTTAAGAAATAGAGCCTCATAATTTCCCTGGAAAAGAAATGTACAATGATCTATGCAATTAAATAACATTTGCATATCTATCATAAAGAGCTCTCTTTACTGGTAGATATAATTTTTTTTTTGAGATGGAGTCTTGCTCTGTTGCCCAGCTGGAGTGCAGTGGCATGATCTCTGCTCACTGCAACCTCTGAAGCCTGGGTTCAAGTGATTCTCCTGCCTCAGGCTCCTAAGTAGCTGGGACTACAGGTGTGCACCACCACGCCTGGCAATTTTTTTGTATTTTAGTAGGTAAAACCCTGTGGATGGTATCGATCTCCTAACCTTGTGATCTGCCCATCTTGGCCTCCCAAAGTGCTGACAGGCATGAGCCATCGTGCCTGGCCGATATAAAATGTATTTATTTATTTATTTATTTATTTTTATTTATTTATTTTGAGACAGAGTTTTGCTGTTGTTACCCAGGCTGGAGTGCAATGGCACGATCTTGGCTCACCACAACCTCTGCCTCCTGGGTTCAGGCAATTCTCCTGCCTCAGCCTCCCGAGTACCTGGGACTACAGGCCCATGCCCAGCTAATTTTTTTTTTAGAGACAAGGTTTCACCATGTTGACCAGGATGGTCTCAATCTGTTGACCTCGTGATCCACCCGCCTCGGCCTCCCAAAGTGCTGGGATTACAGGCGTGAGCCATCGTGCCCGGCCGATATAAAATTTAATATAATTAGTAAGAAGTTGTGTTGCAACCGATTTCTTGAATATCTGTATCTTTTAACTTGGACTTTTTTTTTTGAGACAGAATCTTGCTCTGTTATCTAGGCTGGAGTGCAGTGGTGTGATCTCGGCTCACTGCAACCTCCACCCCTCTGGGTTCAACGAATTCTCCTGCCTCGGCCTCCCAAACAGCTGAGACCACAGGTATGCACCACCATGCCTAGCTAATTTTTGTATTTTGTTTTTTAATAGAGATGGGGTTTCACCAGGTTGGCCAGGCTGGTCTCAAACTCCTGACCTTGGGTGATCTGCCCATCTCGGCCTCTCAAAGTGCTGGGATTATAGGCGTGAGCCACTGTGCCTGGCCTAACTTGGATTTTTAAAGGTAGGATTTCAAGTAGGTTTTGCTCAAATTCTCCCTCCCTCCCTCACTCATCTTTTTTGTTATCTTCACATTCCTCACTTTCATCTTCCCATTCATCTAGATATCACTTATGACAATCTCCTGTTGCTCCAGTTACCTTCTATATACTACTCTACCTTTTTCAAAATACACTTGTATTTTTCTTCTCTCCCCTCCTTTTATTGATTTGGAAAAAAATAGCAATTTTTTTTTCCTGCTACCACTATATAAATAACCAGCAGGTAAATGTAGTTAAATTAAGTATCTTGCAGGTATTTTCTGTGGACAACTACACAGAGAAGATTCTAGTATTTTTAAACAAATAATGTATGAAGGTACTCACCCACAGTCCCTTCTGTGCCATCTGTTTCCTTTGGGATATAAAGTGCAGAAAGATCACTCTGGAGGACTTCATCTGATGTGGCTCTGGCTAAAGCAGCAGCCAAAAAGGAAGGCCAGTTACTGCAAGAAAAAAGACAAAAGGCTATTTTCAGCAAAAGAATTAGGAGTTAATACATTTAACATTATTAATAATTACATATTTTTAAAAATATTTACATATTAATTATAACATTGTCTCAAAACAAAATTACACCTTTAGACAATATTCGATTAATATTTATTGATTAGGTACTATGAGCACTGGGTATATACTGATGTATAACACAGACATGGCTCCTTACCTAGTGGAACTAGTGACAGATGACAAACCAATAGGATATAACTTAAAAGCGGGATAAGTTTTATACAGGAAACCAACAGGATACAACAACAGAGAATAATAAAGGGGAGTACACACTTATTAGATAGAATGGTGAGGAATGCAGTATCTTAAAGGATGAAAAAGACTCAGTTATGTGGGAGTGGGAAGTTAGGAGAGAATATTCCAGGCAGAGGGAATAAAATTTATAAAGAACTTTTTATTTTTGACTCAGTCTTGCTCTGTTGCCCAGACTGGAGTGCAGTTTGGTGCCATCTTGGCTCATTGCAATCTCCATTTCCCCCCAGGTTGAAGCTATTTTCCCATGCCTCACCCTCCCGAGTAGTTGGGACTACAGGCATGCGCTAATTTTTGTATTTTTACTAGAGATGGGGTTTTACTATGTTGGCCAGGCTAATCCTGACCTAAGGTGATCCAACCACCTTGGCCTCCCAAAGTGCTGGGATTACAGGTGTGAGCCACAGTACTCAGTGATACAGGATCTTTTTGAGAGCTTGTTATATGTAAAGAACTGAAAAAGCCCAGAGGAAGTGAAGCACAGTGGGTGAGGGGAAAGTGGCACAGAATAAAATCAGAGGAATAGGCAAAGACCAGATACACGAGCTTTTTAGACTATAGTAAGGAATTTGAATTCTCTTCAAAGGGTAATGTGAATTCACAGAAGTTTATGAGCAAGAGAGTACTCATAATTGCTCTACATCAGGCATATGAATTAAATATTTGCTTTGACTGCTGTATCAAAGGAAATTAGAAGGGAGCAAGAATGAAGGAGGGTAACCAATAAGGAAGTCGTTATAACCCAGGTCAGAAGAAATATAGAACTTGTTGATGACTGGATGTAACAGTGAGAGAGGGAGAGAAAATAATTAAGTCTGATCCTGGGTTTTGGTCTGAGCAACTAGGTGAATGGTAGAATCATCTGCCAAGATGGAGAAACTAGGAAAAGAACAAGTTTGTGAAGGAAGTGGGGTAACGTAGAAATCAATAGTTCATTTTAACATATTTTTAAAAATTAAAGACGGAGTTTCACCATGTTGGCCAGGCTAGTCTTGAACTGAGCCCGGCCAATTTTAACACATTAAGATGAAAATATCGGCTTGGCACGGTGGCTCATGCCTGTAACCCCAGCACTTTGGGAGGCCAAGATGGGTGGACCACCTGAGGTTAGGAGTTCAAGACTGGCCTGGTCAACACGGTGAAACCCCGTTTCTACTAAAAATACAAAAATGTTAGCCAGGTATGGCGGTGCTCGCCTATAATCCCAACTACTCAGGAGGCTGAGGCAGAATTGTTTGAACTCGGGAGGTGGAGATTGCAGTGAGCCAATATCATGCCATTGCACTCCAGCCTAGGCAACAAAAGTGAAAATTCCATCTCAAAAAAAAAAAAAAAAAAAGATGGGAATACCTGAGATGTCCTAGTCAAGGTATCAAATGGTTAACTGGATATTCTAATCTGGTATTTTGAGATGTTATGAAATTTGGAAGTTGCAAACATATGGATGGTATTTAAAGCTATGGAAATAGAAAAGAACTCCCGAGCTCAAGCAATTCACCTACCTCGGCATCCCAAATTCCTGAAATCACAGGTGTGAGCCACCACACCTGGCTGACCTGCTCTATTTCTGACCTGAGCTGATTCATACCTCCTTAAGCAACCTGATGGTTCTCTGCTCCCAGAAGGTCACCATATTGATACCAAACTTAGTGTAGACACTGGATTAGCATAGCACACTATAGGCCAGCACTTTTGGACTCAAGCAATCCTCCTGCTGCAGCCTCCCAAGTAGCTGGGACTATAGGCATGAGCCATCACATGTGGCTCAAAATAATCATCTTAAGAAAATGCAATCAGATACAAGAGAATACATACATATAGACCAGTTAACAAAAATAAGAGAAATTCAATAGAGAGATATCACAAAACAAGAACCAAACAGGAATCTTAGAGCTAAAGAATTCAATGAATGAAATAAAAAATACAATAAAGAGCTTCAACAGCAGACAGAAGAAAAAAATTCTGAACTTCAAGACAGATCTTTTTAAAAAAACTTAGGCAGAAAAAAAGAAAAGAAAAAATAAGGTAATAATGTAATTCTTATGATCTATTACTATTAGGAATGCTATCATAAAATTCTAAAGTATTCAGTTAAGGCTGCTTTAAGAAAAAGAAACTTATTTATTTTGGAGATTACCTCGCCAGCTGAATCAGGATGATTAGTCTTGATTTCATATTCCAGTCTGTTCTGAATGTAAACCAGATCAGACTCAGCTTTCTGGAACTAAAGATTAGCACAAATCATAATTGTGTAAACCAAAAGACTAATAGTAAACATGATACTTTATTCTTTTTTCCCTTTACATTTGTTATTATTTCAATAATAAGTGATACATACTCATTTGAAACTGTGGAAATAAAAAGTATATAAAATATTCATTATCCATAATAACTATGCTCTATTAAAAATTTAAAAACTAAGGCTGGGTGTGGTGGCTCACGCCTGCAATCCCAGCACTTTGGGAGGCTGAGGTGGGCAGATCACCTGAGGTCAGAAGTTCAAGACCAGCCTGGTCAACGTGATGAAACCCCATTTCTACTAAAAATACCAAAAGAATTAGCCCAGCATGATGACACATGCCTGTAGTTCCAGCTACTTGGGAGGCTGAGGCAGGAGAAATGCTTGAACCCCGGATGGGGAGGTTGCAGTGAACCAAGATCATGCCACTACATTCCAGGCTGGGTGACAGAGTGAGACTCTGTCTCAAAAAAAAAAATTAAAAATTAGTTAACATTTTAAAGTCATTTCTCTATGCCTCTCTCTTACATTTTGAGCCAAAGTCAAGATACTGAGTAGCCATTGTCAGATATTAATACAAAAAGAAGGCCGGGAGAGGTGGCTCACGCCTGTAATCCCAGCACTTTGGGAGGCCGAGGCAGGTGGATCACGAGGTCAAGAGATTGAGACCATCTTGGTCAACATGGCGAAACCCCGTCTCTACTAAAGGTACAAAAAATTAGCTGAGCACGGTGGCGCGTGCCTGTAATCCCAGCTACTCAGGAGGCTGAGGCAGGAAAATTGCTTGAACCCAGGAGGCGGAGGTTGCAGTGAGCCGAGATCGCGCCATTGCACTCCAGCCTGGGAAACGAGCGAAACTCCGTCTCAAAAAAAAAACAACTAAAAATGACTTCAAGAATTCCCTAGAGTCATTGATACTCTCATCAGTTGGGCAGTGTTTTTCTATATCTGGCAGAAAATATAGTTTCAAGTTAAACACACAGAACAAATCTATTTCAGGAATATTCACATTGTTACCTTTATTAGCAATCCCATTGATCAAAGAGTTATAGCTATGCGCCACCAAAATTAAGAGGGCTGCCACTAAAATTAAGAGGGCTTAAAGAGTCACAAACTTCACAAGAAAAGCTACATATGGTATAGGAGTAACAGTTTAAATAACCCCAATTTACTGAATCTGGGTGCCAGCATGGGAACTTGACCTCTAGTAAACCTCCAAGGAAGAAAAAAGGGGAGAACTGCTACCCTGAGGCCATTATGGATATAGTATGCTTGAATTAAAGCAAAAAGTTACATTCAAAAATATCAGTATTGGAGTGGCCGGCTGGCTCATGCCTGTAATCCCAGAACTGTGTGAAGCTGAGGAAGGCAGATCACCTGAGGTCAGGAGTTCAAGACCAGACTGGCCAACGCAGCGAAACCACTTCTACTAAATATACAAAAATTAGCTACGCATGGTGACATGGGCCTGTAATCCCAGCTACTTGAGAGGGTGGGCACAGTGGCATGTGGTCCCAGTTATTTGAGTAGCTGAGGCACTAGAATCAGTTGAACCAAGGAGGCAGAAGTTGCAATGAGCCAAGATCGGCCATTGCAGTCCTGCCTGGGTTGCAATGAGCCACGATCAGCCACTGCACTCCTGCCTGGGTGACAAAGCGAAACTCTTATCTCATGAATAAATAAATAAATACCAATATTTGGATTATCATGCCATTACTGAAAATGATGGTATACAAAATAACACTTAAGGGAAGGCTTTCATATTTCATTCTACGTATTTCTGTAGTATTTTAATAAGCAGTTATTTAACCTTTTAAAAGGCCAGTGTTTTTTAAGATGTGTAGACAGATTTGACATGACACTGTATTTATGACTCGTTAAATACAAAAATAGCGTTCAGCATGGCCTCTTTTTGTAAAAGAAATGTGTAATCAATGTGCAAAAATCACAAGCATTCCTATACACCAATAACAGACTAAAAGAGAGCCAAATCAAGAACAAACTGCCATTCACAATTGCTACAAAGAGAATAAAATACCTAGGAATACAACTAACAAGGAACTTAAAGGACCTTTTCAAGGAGAACTATAAACCACAGCTCAACGAAATAAGAGAGGACACAAACAGATGGAGAAACATTCCATGTTCATGGTTAGGAAGAATCAATATCGTGAAAATGGCCATACTGCCCAAAGTAATTTACAGACTCAACACTATCCCCATCAAGCTACCGATCACCTTCTTCACAGAACTGGAAAAAACCACCTTAAACTTCATATGGAACCAAAAGAGAGCCCGCATAGCCAAGTCAATTCTAAGCAAAAAGAACACAGCAGGAGGCATCACACTACTGGACTTGAAACTATACTACGAGGCTACAGTTATCAAAACAGCATGGTACTGGTACCAAAACAGAGATATAGACCAATGGAACAAAACAGAGGCATCGGAGGCAACACAACATATCTACTACCATACAATCCTTGATAAACCTGACAAAAACAAGCAATGGGGAAAGGATTCCCTGTTTAATAAATGGTGTTGGGAAAACTGGCTAGCCATGTGCAGAAAGCAGAAACTGGACCCCTTCCTGACACCTTACACTAAAATTAACTCCAGATGGATTAAAGACTTAAACATAAGACCTGGCACCATAAAAACCCTAGAAGAAAATCTAGGCAAAACCATTCAGGACATAGGAGTAGGCAAGGACATCATGACCAAAACACCAAAAGCATTGGCAACAAAAGCCAAAATAGACAAATGGGACCTAATCGAACTCCACACCTTCTGCACGGCAAAAGAAACAGTCATTAGAGTGAATCGGCAACCAACAGAATGGGAAAAAATTTTTGCAGTTTACCCATCTGACAAAGGGCTGATATCCAGAATTTACAAGGAACTAAAACAGATTTACAAGAAAAACACAAACAAGCCCATTCAAAAATGGGCAAAGGATATGAACAGACACTTTACAAAAGAAGACATACAAGAGGCCAACAAACATATGAAAAAATGCTCATCACTGGTCATTAGAGAAATGCAAATCAAAACTACATTGAGATACCATCTCACGCCAGTTAGAATGGCAATCATTAAAAAATCTGGAGACAACAGATGCTGGAGAGGATGTGGAGAAATAGGAACACTTTTACACTGCTGGTGGGAGTGTAAATTAGTTCAACCATTGTGGAAGACAGTGTAGCGATTCCTCAAGGACCTAGAAATAGAAATTCCATTTGACCCAGCAATCCCATTACTGGGTATATATCCAAAGGACTGTAAATCATTCTACTATAAGGACACATGCACACGAATGTTCATTGCAGCACTGTTTACAATAGAAAAGACCTGGAACCAACCCAAATATGCCCATCGATGATAGACTGGACTGGGAAAATGTGGCACATATACACCATGGAATATTATGCAGCAATAAAAAATGATGAGTTCGTGTCGTTTGTAGGGACATGGATGAATCTGGAGAACATCATTCTCAGCAAACTGACACAAGAACAGAAAATGAAATACCACATGTTCTCACTCAAAGGCGGGTGATGAACAATGAGAACACATGGACACAGGGAAGGGAGCACTACACACTGGGGTCTATTGGGGGGAATAGGGGAGGGACCATGGTGGGGAAGCTGGGGAGGGATAGCATGGGGAGAAATGCCAGATGTGGGTGAAGGGGGGGAAGACAGCAAATCACACTGCCATGTGTGTACCTATGCAACTATCTTGCATGTTCTGCACAGGTACCCCAAAACCTAAAATGCAATAAAAAAAAAAGAAAGTTGAGAAGGACATATGACATGTTAAAAAGAAGTGTTTCTTTTTTATGAGACAGGATATTGCTCTATAGCCCAGGCTGAAGTGTTGTGGTCCCATCACAGCTCACTCCAGTGTCAAACTCCTGGGCTTATGGGATCTTCCCACCTCTTTCCCAAAGCACCTGGAACTACAGGCACATGCCACGATACCCAGCTCATTTTTTATTTTTTGTAGAGAGAGGATCTCATTATGTTGCCCAGGCTAGGCTCAAGCAATCCTCTCGCCTCAGCCTCCCAAAGTGCTGGGATTACAGGTGTGAGCCACCATGTCCAGCATAAAAGTGGTTTCTTGCTGGGCGCAGTGGCTCACGCCTGTAATCCCAGCACTTTGGGAGGCCGAGGCAGGTGGATCACAAGGTCAAGAGATTGAGACCATCCTGGCCAACATGGTGAAACCCCGTCTCTACTAAATACAAAAATAAAATTAGCTGGGCATGGTGGCGCACGCCTGTAATCCCAGCTACTTGGGAGGCTTAGACAGGAGAATCGTTTGAACCCAGGAGGCGGAGGTTGCGGTGAGCTGAGATGGTGCCATTGCACTCCAGCCTGGGTAACAAGAGCGAAACTCCGTCTCAAAAAAAAAAAAAAAAAGTGGTTTCTTTCTGCAAGTGGTATAATCAGTGAATTACTCTTAACTTCTTGAAATTTTGCATCTTTTACAGGATCTTAAAGCATATATTGCCTTGAGTTCATCAAGGATATAACCATGGTTCTTAGAGTTTACTACAGAAAGGAAAACATGATTTCCACAGGCATGGTCTCCTATTCCTAGCCCAAAACACAGGAGACTGTTTGCAGGGAGGTTGCTGTTCTAACTATGAACTTTATCACTGAACTAAATATTGATTCTCAAAATTCTGAAGCCTTAGTGGAAGGGCAAACACTGTTAAAAGCAGTTCTCAAGTATAATAAGAAATGATGTACAGTTATTTTTAGTATATAAAAGATACTATTAGGACCTTTCAAATGTAGAGGAAGACAAAATGGCTGTCAGAAGTTAAAATACTTCTAAGGTCAGAAGCTATTATCATTGAACAGAATTTCAGAAATAAACTAGTTCCCATCACTACTAATTCTTCTCATCATTGACCTAAATTGGAATGGAAAACTCTGCAATGACCAAAATTCTATCTTTATAGCCAAAACTTGGGG